TCTGGGCATACAGGTGAGACATTTACTTGTGTATTGGCCAGTGGGAAAAGTGCATGATTCAGGAACTCTATAAGGTACTACCTGGTGACAGGAGGAAACCAAGGTCTATTTCTGCATTTGGATGATTGAAGAAAGAGTGGAACCAATGATGGAAGACATAGAGTATCCAGAAAGTGGGAGGAAAAAAATTGTAGTGTCATGGAACAAAATAGAGGAGTCTCAACAGCAATGATTATAGCACATATACTCATTGGCTATATTATATGCCAAGTGATGATAAAAACTTTACATATATTATTTTATTTAATTTTTATTCTCACAAGTCTGCAAAGTTAAGAATACATGGTTCAAAAGTGCAAAAGCAACTGTAGAATATGAGGTGATAAAATTATATAATTATAGAAATCATAAAAGTTAACATTTAAAGTATTTTCTATGTGATAGGCAGTGGACTGTATTTCACATTTTGTTCTAGGAGGTAACAACTACCATTTCCATTTTGAAAAGAGGAAGTTGAGGCTTAGCAAGGTTCAGTAACTTCTTCAAGGTGCACAGACAACCTGAGATTAGAAAAATAGGCAAGTGTTTCATTTTCACTTTGTATTTAGGATAGTGGTAAGTTGTATATTAAAAAGACTTGATTAAGTTAAACAAACACATTTTACTTTGTATTTTGCATATATCTTTTCAGACTGGTTTTATAGCTATAAAATTTCAAGAGGGATTAGATGTTTTCCTTCTGAGTATACAGTGAGTAAATAGGAGCTCTGGTGTCAAAGTGCTCTCCATATGTTTTTAACATATTATGGCAACTTTGATTTCATTCAGGGACAGTGGTCTACATAGTCAGATGTCAGTTGTAAAATTCCTTGCTTGTGTTATGATTTCTTCTTACTATGAGCTATGCATCCTTTTCTCTACAAATTCAAGTTTTAGCTAATGCTATTTTGGGGAGCACAATCAGGAGTCAAGAGCTGCAACAATGTGCTACCTTTGTTTTGTGTGTGTGTGTGTGTGTGTGTGTGTTTAAGAGGATTTCTTCCAACACACAAGGGAAGAATAGCAATGATGAAACTCATATAATTTGGGTATAAATACCAAACATGAATATGTAACATATTTTCATTATAGTAACTTCTAATTTCCAAATTATAACAGTTAAAATAATTTAAAGAGGAGAGCAATTGTAGGATTCCTGAAGAAATAAATTCATAGATGCTACATTTCTTTGGAAGGTATTTTATAGACTTTGGCAAGAGCCTGTGAAATCATGTTCTTCTAAGGAGTAGCCTGCTGAGCTGCTAATGGTAATAATATGACATGTTTGACAACAGAGGACAGGAGTAAGTCAAGAGTGGTGTTGGCCTGCCCTTTGAATATGTTAGCTAAGATGTTTTTACTTTCTCAAGCTTATAAATTCAAATGATTTTTATAAAGATCACTTAGATTTCTTGGAACAAGTTATTAAATTTAAAAAAATGGTTAGAATTTCTCTTGAAAACTTTGCAAACTTGATTTTCTTCCCTGTGATCTTGAAGTTTTCCTTATTTTACTTCTTCTAGGATAATTATATATCTCTATATATAGCATATATATATAATTTATAATATTATATATAACTCATAATAATTTATAACCCATTTTATATGTATAATTTATAATATACAATTTTTATAATTTATATATTTTATCTATATACATAAATATGTTTTTACTTAAAATATATTTTACTTAGAATATACTTATTTATATAAGTATATAAATAAATTTATATATAAAATATATTTTTAAATAAAAATATATATATATAAATAAATTTATATATAAAATATATTTTTAAATAAAAATATATTTATTTATATAGATAAATTATATATTTTAATCCTTGATTTTGATATAGTTTGAAAGAACTATACTTCAAGTGTATTCCTTAAACAAACTGCCTCTTGTTTTTAGCATTACTGGTACCATGATTTACCTTTACTAGATACAAATGCATCATCCTTCCAAAACTGATTTAAGATTCATATTTTATTTTATGGCATTTTGATATTAATGCAATTTTATATTCTTATGGATAATAGAATAAATCAATCTCATAATGAGGAAACATCCTGAGTTAGACTTTTCTGATTTTAATTTTCTTTAGCATGATATTATTATTTTATTACCTTTATTTTATTTGTTTATTTATTTATTTATCTTTATGTGGTGCTGGGGATTGAACCCAGTGCCTCACGCATGCTAGGCAAGTGCTCTACAACTGAGCCACAACCCTGGCCCAGAATGATATTAGTTTGAATTTCAGAAAGTAAAATGATTTTGGGGTAATGTCTAATTTTTACCTAATTTCTAATTTTAGATTTTAAAATCTAATTTTAACTTAAAACTTTCTGTTTCAACTTATCCACCTTTGTAGGTTTATAGGCTTTAGGTTATAACACATGCAGGCCATTATGTCCACAATGATGGTAGGCCAGCCATCAAGTGACATTTAAGGCATTATGTCATATACTTTTCACTAATAACAAATAAATAATAGAGCTCTACAAAAAGTTTTATTACCTTATGTATTCAAGAAATAGTTTTGGATTGCATATCCCTAGGCCTGTAATACCTGGACTCATTCTAGATGGTTAAAAATAATCTCTTAATTATTGTCTTTTAAAATAGTAATTAATAGTCTATTCTAAAAATCATAGTTAACTTTTTAAGGAAAATATTTTTCAATTCTCATTATACCCTGCTTAGTGCACTATATCTAGGGCTACCATTACAACCCAAAGTAAGTTAGGTATGTATGCCAACTTTCACTGAATACCTCCTGTATACCTAGCATTGTGCAGATTATTTCATCAGAATTATCTGTATGATTCTTTGCCTTCCAACTCCCACCTCCCACCCTGTGAGATAGGCATAGCTACCACTATACTTTCAAATAAGGGAACTGGTCCTTAGAATTTTAAATTAATGGTACTTCAAGGGCCATGCAACTAATGACAGGCAGGGCAGAGATGCCATCTAGAAGTCTTCTGACATCATGCCCTATTCTTGGTTCATGCTAGAATCCTAAAAATTCTGTTCCTCACAGATAGTTTTACAGACTGGGAAATGAATGGATGAGAAATTATCTAAAGCTCCAATGTTCTTTTTTTATTCCTTTCCAAACTATCATACTTTCTCATTCACCTCCAGATATTTTTAGAAGGAAAAATAGAATTACTCCCTCTTCAATACCTCCATCTCATACTGTCTCCTTGGTGAGTATATCACTTCCACTAAATACAGGTGATTTCTATTCCTGATCCCCTTCCACCCCATCCCACTTATTCCCCAAGGTGCAGATCTCTCTCTGTATGCTTTTCCTGGACATCTTCACCTGAATGTCTCAGGAGAAAAATTCTTAAAATACAGATTATATAAAAAAATCAAAATTATTACCATTGTCCATAAATTTTCTGACTCCTTTTAAAATTTGGGGATTTCTTAATGATTGTATTATTTGAATAATTATCTAATATCTCTCTTAGCTTTGACTGCAGTAACCACTTTATTTCCTTGATCTTTCAGCTTGTACTTTTGATTCTAGAACTTTTTGCTTTGAGCTCTCTTCTGAGCTTAGTATCTATTTTTCCAGATGCTTACTTAATGTATCTTTCTGGATATATTACATGTTTATCAAATGCAACAGTTTCTGTTCAAAACTCTGTATTTCCAGACATCCCAACAATACTCTCTATTTGTGTTATTGATTTTGATTAATGATTTGATATTTACTCAGTCTCTGAAGCTAGAATCTGTGTGTCATTCTTTAATCTTTCCTCAATTTTACTCTCCACATCTATTTAAATATCAAATTATTATTTTTACCACTAAAAACCTATCAAATTTGGCTTCTTATTTTTGTTCTTACTTCTGCTGTCTTCATTTAATCAGTTTCTTAGTCTACCACTAGTCTCCTTGTTCCCCAGTCTAGTCCTATTTTGCAGGAATAAGTGCACTTATTGGGCTTCTAGAATGTGTCTGATACTGTCTTAAGGAGCAAGGCAGGAAAAAATAAAGATCCAACTCTAAATTTGGATGACTTGCATTATATTAAAGAGGCAAATTTCCATGATTTTTTGAATCTCTGCCTTTGTGTGCCTTCTCTATCTGTCCCTCCCATCTTCTCTTCTTTCTTTTATCTTTATGATGCAAACTCAACACAAGTAATTAAATCTGCTGATACTTTTATCCATAGTGATCTCATACACTTTTGTTGTTGATGAAATTCCTTCAGATCTCATTCTTGAATTTTTCAAATATAGTTGTCTCTTGGTATCCTTGAGATATTGGTTCCAGGATCCCCTGCAGACACTAAATTCTGCAGATGCTCAAGTCTCTTATGTAAAATGGCATGGTATTTGCCTACAATCTGTGCACCTCTTCCTGTATACTTTCATTCCTCTCTATTTATAATATCTCTTGATAACTTACAATGTAAATAGTTGCTATACTGTATTTCTTAAGAAAGTATGAGTTCAGTACAGACATAGTGTCTTTTTTTTTTTTTTTTTTCAAATTCTATCCTCAACACACAGAATCTAGAGTTGCAGATCCCTAGAATATGGAGGGCTGACTATATAAGAAGTGTAAGAATTACCCACAGCATTCTTAAGCTTTTCCAAACTATGATGCCTACTTTTGGGGATAGCAGAAATGAGATATTAGAAACTCATAGGAAGGCCTAGCTGCAAATTAAATTACTACAAAGTATGAAAAAAAAAACTGTAGTATTTTCAAAACCATTGCTACTTGTTTAAATAGAATATATGCTAAATACTAATATGTCCCCAGAGCCTATATAAAGTAAACTTCTTAAAAGAAGCTTTTTAGGCAAAATAATTTCCTTGAGATTTTTTGAGGTATTTTAAAGGAACTCTTTAGTGTGGTAAAAAAAGCTTTCCACAGATTCTACAAGAGTTGTCAGATCTAATTGAGTACTTTTCTGTTACTGATAGGTACACACTGGTGGATATTCTGCGTGCCATCTTACTTTCTTTAGAAGCCATGATTGAAGATCCTGAGCTTCAAGTCAATGGGTTTGTTTTGATCATAGACTGGAGTAACTTCACCTTCAAGCAAGCCTCTAAACTTACGCCAAGCATGCTGCGATTAGCTATTGAAGGTCTTCAGGTAGGAGATGCCAGTTACTGTGCCTTGCTCTCCCATGTTTGACTTCTCTTATCCAATGACTTCAAATGCAAAATAGCTTACAGAATAATAAAAACAAAAAGCATAGGTTTTTTTTTTTTTTTTTAGTACAAACATTAAAATACTAACTGAATAAAAGGATTTTAAAAGAAAGGATGCTAGCCTTTTAGAAGACTTCATTATGTCTAAACATATAGGTGAGGGACTGAGATTTTTATCTCTATGATCAAGACATGTAACTTTTTAAAATTTGAATTATTAGATAGTGGGACGTGGTTTTTATTTCTTTTTCCTTTTCTCTGTTTATTGGTTAATTAACTAAATGCATCTTTTATTACTCCATATAATCTAATGAATCGGGGAAGGATCTGCAAAGTTGGTCAAAAGTTGGCCTAAAGTTGGTCAACATTATTTTTGTTTATTTTATTTCAAAAGCACACAAATTATCATTTTGAATTATGTCTTTAGACCTATTTTTTTTCCTTTTTTAGGTGGGAGGAGTTGTTACATGGAATGTATTATTATGGTGCATCTTCTAGGGAAGGATTATTGACTTGGAGATAATAAAAAAGGAAGTGGATTATAATTTACTGTCATAATCTTGCTGTTGTCAAGTTTTTTACTTTTAGGATGTCATTTGGCTCAATCTCTAATATATGCTACTCTGTGTACAATATTTATGGAATTGATTTTAAGCTTCTAGAAAGATTTCATGTTCACTTGAGTGGTATTAGTCCATGTTTATTCTTTGTATTTTTTACTCATTCTTGAAATTTGTGAGTTAACAGTTATTTCTTCTAATTTTCATCACTTATACTATCTCTTATTTCAGATTAATGAATTATATATGTATTATTCATCATGGCAAAGTGTTAGGCATTTTTGTGTTGAATAAGTCCAAATAATCCCGATCTTCACTCCATAGTAATTTCTGACTGTGTCTCTGGCACATAAATTGATGACTGATGAACCCCTAACAATGGGCCACTGCTGCAGGCGGCAGGACATCTTAACCAAATTGAATTCACAGTTTGAGTTCTGCCTCCAGACTGAATAAGACACACTGATCTTTCTTTTCAACGTAAGTTTTTCCCACTGCAAGTTTCCTGACTGGCTCTTGGTGAGTCTGCCTTTCCCCTTTCTTATCTTAAAAAACACCTTTTTTTTTTTTTAAACTCCACAGAGACAGTTAACAAGGGCTGAGAGAGGGAGCAGAATAAAGCATGTTTGGCAATATGTATGTCATGTAGAATGAGACCTAATTCTGCTATTTCTCAGTAATGAATAAATTGTTCTTCAGTTTGTAAAAGAAATTGGTTCTCATCAGCTGTGTTATTCCTTATAGTTTGTATCTGAAATGTCCCCCAAATGCTCTTGTGTTGAAGGCTTGACCAAGCCTATACAGCAATGTTCAGAGGTAGGCCTTTGAGGAGATGACTAGACTGTGAGGGCTCTGACCTCATTCACTGAGAGCTGAATGAACTACTGAGAGGTGGAGAAACTGAAGGAGGTGGAACCCAGATAGATAAAGTAGGTCACTGGGGCTACGTTCTGGAAGGGTATATTGCCCCTGACACCTCTGTCTCCCTCTCTTTGCTTTTGGACTTCCATGAGCTGTGCACCTTTCCTCAGCCATGCCCTTCTGCCATGATGTTCTGTCCCAACTCAGGACTGAAACAATAGAGGTGGCTGGCTAACCATGTGCTGAAATCTCTGAAACCATGAGCCAAAATAAAATTTTCCTCCTCTAAGTTGTTTATAGCAGGTATTTTGGTCACAGGAAAGAGAAACTAACAGTAACTTAACATATTTGGTAACCTGCCTAATTGTTATCCTTATTTAACCTATGTTTGCACTAGGAGCAGCCTATCCTTCAGCTGTGAGACAGACTGGAGAACTCATTATACCCAAGAAGGTTTTAAAAGCACCTCAAAGATAGATCTAATATTCTGCTATTTTGCAACTTGCCCACTTATAGACTTACTTAATAGTGTGTAATACGTCATTGCTGAAGAACAAACTGATGACTCAGAGATGCTTGGGAACTTCTCATTAGCCAGGGCCACTGTCAGAGTTGCTTTAAGTGTGAGCACAGGAGAAGCTGCAGTCAGATTAAACCTCAGTGCTTGTATGTAGGGAGGGAAATGATACTCTTCCTGTGTGGACCTCTGCTGCACATAGGGACCTACCTTCATTCTATTCCCTGTAAATATTTTAGTCTTCTTTTCCTTTCTTCCAGAGTGGAGTGAATGAACAGGTCTAATTCCTCTTGATCACCAGTCCAGAGGCAACTTAAAAAGGGAGCTTTCCCAGGAAATAAATTTTATATGTTACTGACCTTTTAACTCAAATTTTCTACAGTTCAAATTGATTGTCTAATACTGTATATCTATGCCTGTGTTCATGCCTATGTAACCATTCCTAAAAACAATGGTAATTCTGAATCCTAGATTGTTGGATTGCTCAAAATGTTCCATTATGACATGTATGATCTCATACATAGTCTCATACTGAATTAACATTGTCAAGCTTTTAAAATCAAGTCCCTATTTTATTTCACATTTTCTATGTGAGAAATATTATATGTAGCTGGATGTTTCATCCAGGACATTAATAAACAGTTTTCAAGGAATCTTCATCAAAAAATAATTAAAGATACATATACAATTTTATTTTGCTTAACAGCTACTATCACCAAGACCACTGACACCATAAAAATAGTAAATGTCTTCCAGTTAATTCAAGGCAATTTAGAAAGGATTAATGTTATATCATAATTCTTCCATAATGTTATTTTTATATAGGTAAACATAAAACATATTTTAGAGAGTTGAACCAAAAGTAAGAAAGGCTACAAGTAGATCTAGCATCAGTGATGGCAGTTATTTTAATGAGTAATTTTATTAATGAAATGTTACTGTTTTGAAGAGATTCTGTCTTCCTCTTGAGTTGACTATACAATATATCAATGCACCAATCTCCTTTTCAAACCTCAGTCAAAGAGTATTTTGAGTGGCCTGGCTAAAGATAGCACCTGAGACCCTGTATAAGGATCCTTGGACCATTACTGCAGGTCCACATGTGATCAAAGGGCAAGGTCAAGTGAGAGAGAATATGGAATAGTGGAATGCACTGAGGAGTCAGACACATCTGAATTTGGATGGCACCCTGCCACATATCAAGTAGTTTTACAAATTACTTAATTGGTTTGAATGTGTATGTTTATTCATCTAAAAATTTAAGTGTTATAACATTGGAAATGATATATCTTGCACTTAACAGATGATTGAAGTCAATGTGGATTAGCTCATTATTCAGGTGGCATATTTATCTGGATATGTGCTTCTTATCTAACAATTAAGTGATGAATTATTATTGATTGATTTGGGGAATCTGAATAATATTTTTTCTTTTGATGTTCAGATTGTAAAGACATTTTAATTTTTCCCTGTGACTTCTCTGTGTTTAAATAACATGTAGATATTTTCATGCTGGATGCCAAATAACATATGTTTTCATATTGGAAGCTGAAAGAATGAACAATATTATTTTACCTGTTGAAATTTAATGTTTGCTTTATGGGAGAGAAGCTTTTAACTCAACTAGAAAGTTGGTGGTTGGGAAGGTGTCCTTGGAATTAAGAGTTGAGAAAAAGTTTGCTAAGGAGACAAGGATAGAGGGTATTTCAGGTAGGGAGAATTTGGGAAAATACATTGGACAAATGCAGAATGTAGTTGGAAGTGCATAATGAATCTGTTTTGATGGGGCTAGGATAAGGCATGAATTAAGAATTAACCAGAAATGACCCTGAAAAAGCAGTCTGGGAACCAGTTGCGTGGGATGGAAGACTGGATGCTATGTGGTTTGGCTTGTGCTCTCCAGACATAGGGAGGTTTGGGAAAGGAAAGTGTTCTGATCTTTTTTTTTTTTTTTTTCTGTGGAAATATATTTTGTATAGAAGAATGGACTTTGATTGAAGTTATGATAGATTAGATCTAGAGAATCCCCCAAATAACTTTGCGTTAATTATATCAATCCCATTTTATAGGACAGGAAATGGAACCACAGAGAGTTTAAGATGCTTTGCCAAATTTTCTCAGCTGATATTAATACTCAGGTCTAGGTTTTTTGACTCCAGAGACCAATATCATTCGTTAATCATGCTACTTCTGTTGATTCCTAGTATATTACTAAGAAAAAGAATGTGCATATTTATCTCAAATCCTCACACATTAATGTGAATGGAATTTCCTTATTGGAATAGATAGTGCAGTGTTAACTAAAGAAATTACACATGACTAGCCTGTGGATTTGCACTTTGTTCACACCAAGTAGCAGAACCATTGTCTTTTTCCCAGTGAGCAGACTCCTTGAGTGATTACCAGTCTTCCCGTTCTCTGGGATAGAGCATGAAGGTGAAGGAAGGCCATTTTTTTGCTGGTAACCATAGAGACCTTTTATAAAAACAACTGCAGATTGATAAGCTATTCAACATTTTGGTCCAAGGCAATTTTGTATGTTTTCTCTGTGCAGAATCTCCAAATATTTTCAAAATAAGAAATACATCAACCGTCTTTAATATAATATAATGTCATTTCTTTATGGGCAAGGGGCGACATTAGATATTCTTGTGGGAAGAAACTCTTCAGGCTTCATTGGAGAGAAAATTGTCTCGCTATTTATGAGCAGCTAATTGATTGGTGTAGTCATAGAAACAGGATGTTTCTTAGAAAATCAATATAAGATTAAGTGAATGTGACTTGTAGACTGTAAGGTGTCTGCCTGGGAAGCCAATTAAAATATGAAATGTTTGAAAATACCTGGCACAGCTTAGACTCTGAATTTACAATGAAAGGGTGTACTTTTAATATTTTTGGTTTCTGTTCCTCTTTTTTTTTAATTACAAAATATCGGAAACTTCTTTAAAAATGCACAACACAAACTGGTCCATGAATCTAGAATCTCCCAATTTGTAAATTAAA